ATTAACAAACTCAGAATTTCAAAAGTGACTGTGATGTTGGCAGACCCAGTGCAGCTCTTGCCAAATCATTAAGCCTCAGCCAAGTACTGACAATTTCATTGCTGGAAACCACCACAGCTCACCCGTGTCTTAATATGGTTAAACTGGGTATCGAACTTACAACAATGTATTATAGGATTTAGACTTTATGAAATGCTTACAAGTTGCTGCATGCATTAATCTCACTTATAATATCTTTATTACATGGTATAATATAATATTAAAGTTTTTGCTTTATAACTGTAAAAAATATTTGCCCTGAAATTGTCAACCCATCCAAAGGGATCATCTCCTGCTCATTAAGAAGGCTATCTAAATTAAATGGAGCACTGTGGGACATCGCAATACAAAGACTTTGTTAATTGCCCCTTCACACCCATGCAGAGGCTACATTCAAAAGGGTTCATCCCATCAGCTTGAATTCTGGAAGAACAAAATAAAGATAGTGAACAAGAAAATTGTTCATCTCTTTTGCAGTTTGGCCTCTTCAAGGGCTGGAGCTATGAAACAGAAGCAGAGATCTCCAGGGTCAACCTGGGTTAGCCCTAAAAGACACTCAGTGCTGACAGATTGCTGAAACTCTGACTTCGGAACCATAGATTGTAACTCATATGTGTATATATGTTACCTGCTTTAACCTCTTTTTCCTAGTTAAAAAATCCTTATTTATTATAATTTACTATCAGATTGGCTACAAGTGTTGCCTTCGGTATGAGATCATAGATATAAATTGATCTGGGGTAACTGGGACTGAAAGCAACCTGAATCTTTTGTGATCTTTGCTATATAACAACCATCCCTAAATTCAGCTTGCCTGGGTGGCAAGATAGATTGGAATGCCCCAGGGGATTGTCTGTGATTCCATGGTAAGACTTTACTGTGCTTCAGGAGTTCACATTTGTTACTGGGTTGGTGAAATCTAATTATAGAACATACCAACAGTTTGGGGTATGTGCCCTGCATTTTGACCATCTGCCCTCAGGATAGCACTCATGGGCATGAACTACACCAAGCAGGGTGACAATGACTACTGAGTTTGAGTGACTCAATTTTTCAGTGCCCCATTTGAGGCCTCTGGAAGTTTGGAGCATTAACCCTTTGAAAATAAGTCTTTTTAAAGGTGTCTGTAGTTGGGCACACAAAAACAGAGGCAGCCATAAACACTAATCACTTTTGAAAACCTTGGACATCCTGTCTATTTCGATAAACATTGTGAAAGTGTCATTTGGATGTCCAGAGAATGAAACATAATAGACATGACCTGTATTCTGCCTCCCTTACTCACACTGAGTAGTACCAGACTGTTTGAGTAGTGTCAAGGCTGTATCCCCACTTTGAACTTTAAGGTACAAATGTAGGGGCCTGCATGAAAACTTCTAAGCTTAACTACCAGCTTAGCTCTGGTCCTGCTGCCACCATTCCCAATGGATTCCCTCCCTGGGAAGCCTTGAGAAACCTTTCACCAATTCCCTGGTGAATGAGAGCGAACGCACACCCAAAACAAAGAGCACAAACAAAAGCCTTTC